GAGTATGTAAGGGTCAGAGGAGGGAGAGCAGTTCTGTGACGTAACACGGCCATCGTATTCAGGAACTTGTGGTAGCTGCAGTTGCCTGCACAAGATCAAATCAGTCAACATTCTAGCGTGGATAGGCAGGGGTTCACGAGAAGCCATCATCCATGCTGAGGAGCTATTGACAGCTCATAACTCCTAGGACAGGAAAAGTCATTTCTCTTTTCTTTAAAAAACACTTCAGATTTATTTTCATTTTATGTGTAAAGGTGTGCGTGGCGTGTGTGCATTGGCCACAGAGGCCAGCAGAGGGTGCCAGATCTCCTGGAAACAGAGTCATAGATGGCTGTTAATGGCCATGTGTGCTGGGAATCAAACCTGGGTTCTTCTAAAGAAGCAGTCAGTGCTCTTAACCCCTGAGCCATCTCTCCAGGTTCCAGAAAGACATTTTTTTTTTGGGGGGGGGTTACCTTTTACTCCAGTGGATGGTTGTATTTGTATGCTTATGCACATACAGGTCCCACAGGTTCCATTCAGTGGGTTATGAGGGGGGAAATAGAAGGACAAGAAGCTGGGGACAATGTACAAACGGAGTTGGATGTGATAGAATCACATTGTATACATGTATGGAATGCTCAAAGGATAAATAAAATACTATATAAAAAGCATGTTTACCTATTAAGCAGATACATGCTTTCTTTCGTTTCTTTATGTGATATAGTACTGAGATGATGTTCACAGGTAAGTGCTGTAAATGTGTATCATCATACCTAAGCTATGGGACACTAAAGGGCTGAGCATTCCTTGAAGGAATCTGGCACTTACTCTGGCAGGGAGGGATCTTATGTAAGACAGTTATCATTTTAGGTGGAATTATGACTTGGTTATTATTTTCATTTGGAAAGTAAGAATGACTGTGATTGTCTAAGTGGCAAGAGAGCCAGTCTCATAAATCCCCTTTTTATATCTATTGTTTCTGGGCCCAAGAGATGGCTCAGCAGGGAAGGTGCATGCAGCCAGCTTACAGTCCGAGTTCTATCCCTAGGACTTCCACGGTAGAAGGCGAGAACTACAGGGAGTTCCACATATGTTCCATGGCACACCTAAGCCCACATACATACTTGAACAAAAAAGGAAATAAGACATGCTTCAAAAATAAACATTACTTGGCAACCCCAACAACAGGGACCTGATAGGGCAGCCCCGGGCCAGGGCACAGCAATTTCTTCTGCACCTCCCCAAACACACCTCAGCCTGTGCCCCCAGGACACAGTGCAGGAGTCACTCTGTGGGTGACTAATTGGAGAGAGCTCTCTCTGATGACCCCCCCCCAAGCCTAAGCAGCACAAAGTCAACGTGTAAGGATGGAAAAATTTAGCCTAATTCTCCACTGACCCCAGGAGTAGGAAAAAGGTCACATTCTTGACTGTTTACGACAGGGCAGTTTTACAACAGCACCTGTGAGTATATGAACAAGAAATGAGCCTTGTCACACTACCCAGAAGCCCTAGCGAAAGCAGACTTCCTGGGCTAAGCGTGGGCTTGGATAGTTCAAATTGATTGATCCACACTGGATGCTATGAGATGATTGGTTTATGATGCATGGGCTTTGTTGTAACCCTATAAAAGCTGTCTGAACCCTGTACCCAGGGTTCCCAGTCCCCAACTTCCACGTGGAGTATGGCTGCAGACCCCAGTGCACTGGAATATAAAAGACCTCATGCTTTTGCATCAAGACCGCTTCTCGTGAGTGATTTGTGGGGGGCGCCTTTCCTGAGTTGGGGCGTGAAGGTCCACACTCTCCGTGGGTCTTACAAAAGCACCTTTTTTTGGGGGGGGTGCTGCTTCTGAAACTACCACCTTCTCAGGATGTGGCTGGTGAGACAGTAACAGCACATTCATTCTGGGAGAGTTTGGGGGTGGCCTAATACCTCTCCTAGACCCCAGGAGCAGGCAGAGACACCAAGTCCCTTAGATGAAGTCCTCCAGACACCAAAGCTTGGAGGGGGCATGAGAAGAGGCTCCCAGCTGAGCCACTAGCCCGGGAAAGGACATGGGGACACTAGGCAGGATTTCCACAAGTTTATTGGAAACACAATACAAACCGAAGGATAGATGGGCTCTCCTACAGACAGTCAGGCCACACTGGCCTGGCATGGGAGACAGCTTCCTGAGCACTGAGGCCAGCTCTGGTTAGTGCTCATGGAGAGGGGCGGGGGCACCAGAGACTTGGAGGAGAGGAACAGGCAGGCAGGGCACGCACAAATCAGGACAAGGCTTTCTGGAAGGAAGCAGGGTGGTTTAGTGGGCAAACTCCTCCAAAGGAAAGCGGGGATGACTGTGAAGAAAGGCTTCCTCTTCCTCGCAATAGAGCTCTTTCCTCCTCAGCAGGCTGAAAGCAATCTACAAAAACCCAAGCAGGCCACTCCTCTGCCTCCTTTCCCAAGGTCTTAAGCAGTGCCGAGGAACGAGGAACGAGGCCTCTGAAGACACAGCACATAGCGGTGCCCTTGCAACAGGCCTGATCTTTATCAGCCCTTCCCTGCTCTTCCCTGCTGCATGCTGGGAGCTCCCAGGCTCCCAGGGTGGGTTGGCTTCTGGCTGGAGCCAGCTAGTGTGGGATACCCACAGAAATCCATAGGGCTGGAGGAGGAGGCCAAGTTCCTTCTCCCCTCTCTGACTCCCCAGTGGCCCTGGCCTATAGTTACATGGCTTCCTCACTGTGCTCCCCCCCCCCACTCTTCTGGCCTCTATATGAACCCTAAAAATGAGATTTGCTTTCCTGGTTGGGCCCTGAGTGACAGACACTGGGTCACAGACAAGGTAGTATTGTGGGAGCTGCCAGCAACTTCCTTTGGGCCCCCTCTTTTGCACACCCTTAGTCTATTAGAGGGGTGGCAATGTTTGTGGACAGAAGGGATGCCTTGCAGTTTCTTGTGTCTTCCCAGAGGGCCTAGCACTACTGTATGCCTGTGAAGACAGCCTCAGTTCGTCCAATTCGTGTGCTCACCATGAAACAGGGACATGCCATTGACATGCGCGCGTACACACACACACACACACACACACACACACACACACACACACACACACGATGGCAACACTGTAGGCTCAGAAAGGCAAAGACAAAAGACCAGGTCCCTTGGAACCTGTCTTATTTACCCTGGAGCAATCCTTCAGCATTCCCAGTTATCAGGTGGGGCAAAAACACTTGGGTATGTTGGGAAGGTGACCCTGCAAGAGCTAGCACTCACAATCAAGGTGAGGAGGGACACTCTGGATCCATGGGACTCAAAATGAGCTGTGATTTCCTCAAAGCTAACTGTGACCTCTGCCTCTACCAGCCCGGTGGAGGACCTTCCCCAGATCTCTTGGACTTGGTAGAGAGAGAAAAAAGCCTCAGTAGTCAGGGGCACTGATTGTCAGCACGGTGAGCTGTCACTCATGATGCGACAGGGCAGAAGAGGAAAGTGAACAGGGAGGCAAGCATTTCTCCCTGTGTCTATATGCCACAGAAACCCAGGGTGGGGGCCAGGTGCAGAGAATTGCATTCTCTCTTTCTTTTTCTTTAGGGAAGAAATGGCCAAACGGCCAGTTGTTCCATCTCTTGGGTCTTTGCTGATGGGAAGCCTGTAGGGAAATGCCAGACATTCTGGTTCATGGAGCACCACCCACCCTGGCCCCACCTGCAGGGCCCCAAGCCATGGCCTAGCAGTGGTGGCAACTTGTCACAGCTGTGGAGAGGCCTATGATGAAAAGCAGTTCCTCCCCAGAGGGTCCTGGGAGAGGACAAGGCAGCTGGTACTGACCGTTGTCCTTAGCCACACACCTCTCCTCTCTGCTGCATGGCACACAGATTTCCAGTTGTCACCATCATTTTTTGTGACAACTTATTCTTCTAGGGGACCAATTCCAGCTGTCTTGCACTCTGTCTTGCAACCATCTGCTGGAGTACCTCCTGGCGGCCACCCAGCTGCTTTAAGACACGGGCTCCAAGGTAGCTGCAAGGTCAGACTTTACTTGTCACAGTGCTGGGACTCTGCTCCACAGCCCTGTCCCTGCTAATGGAGAGGTGGCCACATCCTCTGCTCAGGGAGTTACTTTGGTGACTGCAGCTAAGTGTGGAGGCCGGCAGAGTAGCCATCCAGGATGTCACTGAGGACTTGGATCCAGGGCAGTGAAATAGGCAGAGGCCTCCAGGGGTCCCAGCATATATGGTCAAAAAAAAAAAAAAAAAAAAAAAAAAAAAAAAAGCTGGAGAAGTGTGAGGGATCACAAAACCATCTACACAGATTCATATCTACAAATAGGATAAATAGGATTTCCATCCTTTACCCTACCCCTCAGGCCCAACAGAATCTACTCAAAATAAAATGGGGGGATTCGTGACCCCTCCACCCCAGATACAGGTCGTTGTCAGCTGGTTTAGCTATAAGGGAAGAGGGCAGTAAGCCAACAGCTTGTCACAGTGATACCCACGATTAACACCTGCTCTCTGACGAGCTCCCCAGGACCGAAGGGAAACCAGTCCTACCCCAGCCTCTCTCCAATGACAACACAGATGTCGAGAGTCACTTGCAGGCTGGCCAAGGTCAAGAACAATATGTTCCCCAGACCCTCCGACCCCATAGAGTGTGGGAGCAAACCCTGTACAGGGTGCAGAGAGGAAAGAGTAAATTCCCCAATGAGGAGAGAAAGGCAGCCTACTGAGGAAAAAGCCAAGAGATACAATAGCAAGGCAGGGCGATGCTAGGGACCGCAGGGACACTGGCACATTCCGAAGGAGGGGCCACTCAGAAAGATGCCGTGTCCCTCCTATACATAATTTCACAGCATGAAACAGTAGGGTGGACACATGCAGGGTAGAGGGACTCCGGGCTCTCAGCAGCCTCCATGGCTGAGCTTAGCTGCTCCTGGGAGTTGGGAACTGGGAAGCGAGGGGGCTAGTGGCTTCCTGTTTGCCTCAGCTCTCAGACAGGTCCATTGTGGGACACAAGGTCTCTGGGAAGGAAGCGAGGTGCCTCTGGCTCACACACACCGAGTCACAGACACAGACTGTGAGCTCCTACAGTTTCTTCCCTGCCCCTTTTGGCCTCCAAGGAGTGTGCACGAAGCTCTCCCACGGAAGGGACCACCTTCTTTCCAGGCATGGCCGTGACCACCAGCGGGACAGTAGCCAGGTCTCGAAGAACAGGATGGAATAGGGATAGCTCAGTCTGACACACAGCAGGTAAGTTCTGGAAAAGGGAAGAAACAAGAGCAAGGCTAAACGATTTTTGATAGGCGGAAGCAAACTAAGTGTGGAGGGCAGAAGCCTCCCACCACCACGGCGACTGTCAGGGGAGAGGAGGCCAAAAGGAAAGTTCGCCTAGGTCAGGAAAATGTCCAAGCGACACGGAAACATGAAGGGTGCAGTGACTGCTGGTGAGGCTACACCACCCCAGGCCAGTGCTCATCCACAGACCTCACAAAGTCCTGCTGATTAGGAGGGAAGCAGGACCACACCCAACCGGGAGGGGTGACCCACACTGTCTTCAGCCTTTGTAATCGCCTGGATGCCAACCCTCGAGGGCCATGAATACACTCTGTAGGACAGTGAGCCTCAACCCCCAGTGTCATAGGGTCAAAATTTCCCCACTCTGTCAATGCTGTGCATCTGGACGTGTGACAGGAAAGAGTAACTGAACAACAGACATGCCCACCAGTGTTATCACTGCTGTCTTTCATTACATAGTGGGGTGCAGAGGATGCCGAGATGGGGTAGAAAGGCTTGGACCTTCCCTCCCATCATCCACTGCAGCCCAGACAGAACCAACATGTTTGCTTTTACAGGTTCAAACCATCCTGAGGGACAGAGGGTGGGACTAAGCTAGAGAGTCACTTCATGAGCCCTTTGGGAACAGGGAAGGGACCAACAGGGGATCACCAAATGTGTTAAGGTTCAGATTCAGTTCAGGAATCACTGACCCGCTACTTTACTGGGTCATGTGACCACTGCCAGAACCTTAGGAAGATCAGAGAGACTAGGCACTGGCTTAAAGGGCACACAGTGAGTGCACCATGGAGACAAGATTTGAACTCAGCTCTTAACTCACGTCAGGTTTTTCCCACTCCACTGAGCCTCCCATTCTCCATCCAGCCCAGAGTTCTAGTAACAGCCCAATCAGAGTAAATTTCAATGTCTGAGTTGCGAGTGTGCCAATATCTCTCAGAAGTCTACTCTCCCACCTCTGGTGGAGAAGGTGTGGACTCTGTTATTCACTCGTTCCAGCAGAAATAGAATACCTGCTTGAACATAGTACACACGGGCCATGCTTCTGGCCTGTCATGGTGAAGTTTTGCTAAACTTACCTACTTGGGTTTCAGAGCAACCCTCCCTGGTAGCCAGATGCTTGGGATCTGGAGTTCAGGCTCCCACCTGCATTCCCCACACTGGCTCTGAGATACGCCACCTCTCTAGATCACAGCAGAGTCCCATCTGCCCTCACAAGGCTGTCATTTCATTTTTTCCTTCCCAGACCTACCCAGCCCCACCGCATTTCCCTGAAGCAAGAGCAATGGGCACTTTCAGGCCTCCAACCAGGCACACGCCAAGGCAGCAGTAGCAGATGGCCCAGGGGAAGGTCTAATTCCCAGGTCTCCTTCTAAGACCGGTTGTAGCCTGAGCCATTTATCTTTTTGCTCATGGGCAAATGTGTTCATCTACACTGTCGGCTTTTGTCGTTGCTAACCCTGAATCGTAAGCACTTACTTTGATTTCTGCAAAATGTTCCCTATTGGTTTGACTACTCAGAAGTACTTGAAGCCCGTGGACTCGGAGACTCTGCCCTCTGACCAACCGATGCCACAAAAGCAATCTCTTTTACAGTCTCTAGTTGCAGGCTTCTGAGTTCATGTCCTCCCCTTCCGAAAATCAGAGAATTCACCATCCGAATCTTGGAGGCTGGAAAGCAGATGGCGAGTGAGACCATGCATTTAAGAAAGCTAGACTTGGGCCAGTGAGACGGCTCAGTAGGTAAAAGGCACTTATGTGCAAGCCTGATGACCTGAGTTCAATCCCTAGAACGCAGAGAGTGGAAGGAGCTGTCCTTTATATGTGTGGCCTCACATGTATGCATGCACCAGAGCATGCATGTGTGCAAAACACACACACACACACACAGAGCACACACTCCCCCCTCTCCCCCTCCCCCACTCTCTCCTCACTTCCTCCTCCCCCTTCTCTCTCTCTGTCTCTCACACGCACATTCTCTCTCCCCTTTCTCCCCCCCACCACATACCCCTAAAAGGTAGATTTGAAACTGGCAGTGACGCCGAGGGCCCGCTAAGGGTTCTGAAAGTGAGACCGGGAATTAGAGGGGGAACACTGAAGTAAAAGAGTTGAGTTGAATGTGGCTGGAAAAGGAAATCCAGAGCTCTCCGGAGCCCAAGTCCATGGGCAACTGACTACTTCCCACCATGGATGTGTGTGTCCTAGAAAGATGACAGGTGTCAAGTGCATTTGAGAGAGCACGTACATGTGGTAACCCTCCAGCCTTCTTCCCGATGAGCTTCCAGGGTGCAGGCTGCTAAACACATGCCCTCTGGGGAAGATAGTAGGGCCTTCCTCATCTGTGCTAGGCAAGCCCTCTACCAGCCCTTGGGTCACCCAGAGAAAAATCTCTAACACAAATGCTAGAGATCAAACATAAAAACCAAAACATCATCAATAAATGTCCTCTGAGAAGCAAGAGTTTCCAGGAAGCATTAAACAGCAGATTCTTTTTGTTTTGTTTTTTAAATTGAAAACCAAGGTGGAGAGGAATGGAAGGGTGGCTGGGGTTCTGGTTCCTGCAATGGCAGGTTAATTTATATTGGACTAACTCTCCGGCCAATCAAATCTGGGCAAAATTAAACAAACAACAACATAAAAACATTTGGAGGTAGTGGAGAGGCTATAAGCCTTGCACAGAGTGAGACTAGGTCAGGGCTACTTCCAGCTATTGCCTTTCCTGTGAGCAATGAAATATAGAAAGCCCACTCAGGCAAAAAGCTGTGACCTAGCTGGAATGAGTCATCAGAGGTGAGAGTTTAAGGCTTTCTACACAGCTGGGGACTGGAAGAGGAGAGCTGGAGAAGGAAGAGGACTTGGGGAGCCCTCACATGTTCTTACACACACACACGCAAATCACGGGCTCCTTCCTGACCCGTAAGTACAGAGGGAATCACAGAGCTTGCTCGGAGAGACCTGGGTATGGCTTTAGCAGCCACCTATGCCAGGAAGACAGAATTTGGAGTTAATTTCTGCCAATTTACAGGGGCTGGGTCAACATGATCTTCCCACTGAAAACCCACAAGGCTAAGCAAATCGGAAGACCCCCTAATCTTCCAAACCAGTGGTTTCCAACCTCCCTAATCCCACAACCCTTTAATACAGATTCTTGTGTTGTGGTGACCCCTAGCCATAAAATTATTTTAATTGTAGTTTTGCAACTGTTATGAATCATGATGTAAATATCTGTGTTTTCCTATGGTCTTAGGTGACTCCTGAGAAAGGGTCATTTGAGAAGGTTGAGATCCACTGCTTTAAACCAAGCCTCTGCAGAATGACAGTAATCAGCAATTAAAGGACTTACTATGCATGCATGGGGGTCAGACTTTGGATCTACAGAATCCACATAAAATGCCAGGTGTACATCGTGGCCTGCCTGTAATCCCAGCCTTGCAAATGGGAGATGGGGGTCCCTGGGAGAGCTGGTTAGCAAGACTAGTCACAGTAGGCTTGACTGAGAACCCCTGCCTCAGTGAGGTAGAAGAACTGCTCATGACTCCCAGCATGCACCCTGGCCTCCACATTGCATACACAGGTAAGCCCACACTCGTGCAAGCATGCACCTCCTCCCTGAGACATGAAAATGGAAAAGGGAAAAAATGAGAATCAAGGTGATTCCAATTTCTCTGCTTGCCAGAGCAAAACTGAGGACATGCCAGGGGAAACCGAAGCAAGAGTCTCTGCAGCTTGCCATTCAAAGCATCAGAGAGAGGGAGGAAAATGGGACCAGTAATCAAAGGGAAAATGTAAGATAGGTGTGAGAGTTAGCTGCTAGAAGGAACCGGCATGGGATCAAACTGTCTGCTGCAAATATGAGAAACAGGCTACAGAGAAAGCTGCAATGGGTGACAATGTGGCGTGGCTCATCTTTGTTCTCAAGAGATAGGGCCTTACTACATAACTCAATATATAAACGAAATCACGATCCTCCTGTTTCAGACTCCCAGTGCTGGATTACAGGTGTTTGCTACCATGCCTGCCCCTATTTTAGAAATACAAAGGGAGGGGTCAGGCATGGTGGCACACATCCTTGAAGCCATCACTGCTGAGGTAAATGCAGTTGATCTCTGTGAATTCAGGCCAGCCCGGTCTATACAGAAAGCCCAGGCCAGCCACAGCTACACAGTAAGACCCTGTCTAAAATATAAGGAAATAAAGGCATAAACATAAAAGGACTAGATGGTCAAGCATGGTGCACATTCCCAGCACTCGGGAGGCAGAGGCAGGTGGGTCTCTGTGAAGTCCAGGCCAGCCTGGGCTACCGAGTGAGTGAGTTCCAGGACAGCCTGGGCTACAGAGACCCTGTCTTAAAATTTAATTAACTAGTTAATTAATTAAAAATGGCAGCAGAATATGCCTTTATGAGGTTTTCAAACCTGAGATGAGACAATGTATACTGGCCTTGGAGAAGTTACATGATGCATGTCATTTCAGACTTAATAAAACAAGAAGAAGCCCATTAAAGAGCACAGGCCTGTGCTCACAGCACTCTGAAGTCTGAGCAGGGGGACTGAGGCTGAGACCAACGTGGACCACGCAGTGAGGCTGTCTCTAAAGAAAAAGGGGAAGGGAGCCTGGCTAGCACAGAAGGACTTAGCTCAACCCCGAGAGCTGAAAAGAACAACAAGCTAAAACTGGGCTGCTGGAATGGGATGTTGGTCTTAGCATGCATGAGGTTCTGGGTTTGATTTCCAAGAGTGCAAAAACAAAACAAACACCTAAAGACAATTTTCATTACATTTTATTATTTTTAAATATTTTTATAAAATTTTCATTACATTTTGTTAATTTGTGTGTGTGTGTGTGTGTGTGTGTGTACGTGCGAGCGTGTGTGTGCATGTGTGTGTGTAGACATGTGCGGACCACAGTGCACGTGTGGAGGTCAGAGGGCACTTGCAGGAATCGGTTCTCTCCTTTCACCATGAGGGTCCCAGGGGTCAAACTCAGGTCACAGGCTTGGTGGCAGTACCTTTACCTGCTTAGCCATCGTTCCGGCCCTAAAAACAAGTTTTTAAAAGAAGAGACGACAAAAGAAAGAAAAGTGATGTGGCCATATGACATTGGAAAAAGTCGGCTGCTAGATATGAAGTATTAACAGTGATACAGAAGGTCACCTCATAGTGATAAAACGTTAAAAAGACATAAAAATAATATATACATACACACATGCAGCAAGAGAATTTAAAAATCAATGAAACAAAAATTGACACACTAATGGAGGACAGGCAAATCTGATTAGAAAGGTAAGCCGAGGCAGTTTCCCAGAAACTAGAGGAGGGCCCAGGCAGGCACACTCGGGAGACAATCCTGACGGTGTTAACTGAGGTGAGCCCACTGTGGTCAGAGAGCAGCCTGAGCATCCACACTGTCTACCTCCCGACTCTGGGTCTGATGTCACCAGTTGCATCAAGCTCTTGCAGTTTTGGCCTCCTCACCACGAGGGACTGTACCACAAAAACCTTTTCTCCCTTCAGATTTACTTGTCAAGTATTTTCCTAAGCAACAGAAAAAAGAGACTAAGGCAGATTTTCCTGTTTCCTTGTTTCTCTGAGCCCGGGAGATCTCTGAGCCTGGGAGCCTTTATACACTGGTTTCTGAGGTTGGTCTTTACTTCCCAAGGCATCTAAATTCAATACTGAGAGGTTGAAAAATAGTTCACAATTAACTGCTCTGTGACAGTCCCAGGTTAAGTTCCCAGCATCTACACAGTGGCTCACCCATCTGTAACTCCAGTCCTCAGGGAATTTGTCACCCTCTTCTGGTCTCCCTGGGCACCAGGTACACTTGCAGTCCCTATGCACATGCAAGTAAAACAGTTATATACATAAAAAATAAATAAATAGCTGGGCAATGGTGGTGCACACCTTTAATCTCAGCACTTGGGAGGCAGAGGCAGGCAGATCTCTGTGAGTTCGAGGCCAGCCTGGTCTACAGAGTGAGTTCCAGGACAGGCTCTAAAACCATAGAGAAACACTGTCTCAAACAAACAAACAAACAAACAAACAAACAAGCAAGCTCCCAGATAAGCAAGCTCCCAAGCCTCAGCACTTGGGAGGCAGACTTGGGTGGTCTGACTTTGAAACTACCTGGTCTACATATCCAATTCCAGGATGACCTGGGCTACATAAAAAGACTCTGTCTTAAGACAATAACAAAAAAATCTTTTTAAAAACCAAAAATGGTCCAGGACTGATATCTAGAGGGCTCCTCAGACATCTGTGCCTCTTCGTTGATGGTAAGACTAACCTAGGTAAGTCTTCAAAGAAACCAAGTCCCTTTCCTTCAAAGAAACCAAACCCCTTCCCTTCCTTTGTCTTCTTTGCTTGTCCAAACATCTAAGTGGCTCTCATACTTGAGCCTTAGTTCTCTACCAGGAGGTTTCCTTCAGGATGGTCACCTCTATGGGTTACTAAGGTGGGGAAATCCAGGGACAGATTGGTGATAAAGGCCTTGGATATGACCTCTGCAGGTAAACAACACTTAAATGCAGAAGTCAGCACATCTGTAACTCTCCCAGGACCCCCACATTGAGGTCTCCAAATTAGTCTCTTGGGAACACACCAGTATTTGCTCCAGAGATAGACACGTGTTCTCTGGGAAAAACAAACAAACAAAAAACAAAAACAAACAAA